GGGAGTGGGCGTCGTGGCGAGAGTGGTCGAGGACACGCCTACGGGAGAAGGTCCCTGTAGCTGTTCGTCCATCACCTGTAGCAGGGGATCTCAGAGGAGGAGCTGACGCCACCTGGAGGGCGTCAGTGTTCACCGCAGGGTCTTCCGCCCTGAGATCGAAACCCTGCGCGGGGAGGCGGCTCCGTTTTGAAAGCGAGCAGGGTATTTGACCCTGGTCTGTAAGGGGAGAGCTACCCCTTCTCCTGAGAGTAACAAAGATCAAGTTAGTCAAACGAGGTCACGCAGGACGCGCGGCAGGGTCAGCGCCGTCCCTCGTCCAGCCGCCCTGGACGGGCGCGCTCTCCCGCAGGCTTAATCCTGATTTTCTCTGCGTGTCAGGCCATCGTACCCTCTCTCTAAGCCAGTTTCCTCACCTTTCAAGGTGGTTATAAGACTTAAAGGAATAAAAATTAAAAATTTTTTTTTTAATTTAAAAAAAGACTTAAAGGAGACAATGCGAGTGTTTCACAAAGAGCCTGGCATTAATAGTAAATATTATATCACTGTTTTTAGACCACTATGTTTTATTTCATTGATGTATTGAATTACTACTCATTTAGTTTGAAAGAAAGGTGACATTTCAAGATTTAAAAATATATTTTCTATGTTCTGTAATGAAGTGCTAAGGAACATGAGAGGAGGGAACAGCCCTGTACTGAGCAAGACCTGGGGGCTATTGTAGCTTGCTTTTAAAGAATCGTGAAGTGCAGAGTGGTGGTTGATCCTGTATCATCTTGCACATTAAAAAAGAAAATGCCCTGTGCTAATTTCACAACAAAAATAAAGTCGGTGCCCTAGTTATATGTTGGTGCCTTTGTGATCCGTGTTGAGAATATTTAACAGTATAGTATTTACAGGCTTTGTAAGTCATGCTTCGTTCTTTTTAACCTTAAAAGGAGACACTTTTTTTTTTTTTAAAGTCATCACTTTACTCAACAAGTCCCACTTGAAAAAAATAAATAACCAAAGATCAAACAAAACTTTTCCTCTACTCAGGACAAAAAGTAATGATTATCCCTAACATTCACCCCCCGTATGCCGTGTATGCTCTGAATCTACAAGTGCCTTTACTTCAAGTATGTCTTAGCTCTCACCTCCTTGATCTGAAACTTTTATTATTTTTACTTCTCACAACATCTGGGGTCCTAAACTCAACATCACCCAAACTAAAATTAATAGTTTCACTCCCGCTCTTTGCCTCCTGACACACCCAGGAACACTAACAGAACTTTCTTTTTCTTCCATTCACTGCAACCCCAGTATCCTAAATATCTCTTAAGTCTTTCTTCATTTCTTGCTACCTAGTTCAGCTACTAACCATTATCTCACCTGGACCTTTGTGAGTCTTTTAGCTGGTTCCCCTACGGTTGCTTCTCACCTTGCAATTCCTCCGTTACACCAGAGGGAGGTTCCTAAAACCTAAGTTTGCTACAGAACCCAAGTTCATGTGCCCACCACTTCCAAAGGCCAAAACTCAAAATGTCTGGAGTTTGGAGTAAAGAGAGGTTTATTGATCCAGAAAGCGCCAGCCGAGAAGATGGGAGATCTAATGGTGCCTCAAATCTATCGTGCTCATTGAACTAGGTTAAGGGTTTCGTCAACCGATGGTTGTTGGCAGGGTCACCAATTCAAAGTCAACAGGAATCCCCAATTTGGGGTGCAGTGAAGAAGGAACCTATTCAGGGCAAAACAGCTCAATTGTGATACAGCTCGGCTGTGCGGCAGCCCTGGGGCCAGGCCGCTCTCTGGCTAGATAGCTCTGCTCCGCTCCTCGCTGGTCTGCTCCACTCTGTTCCAGGGAAACATCTTGGATGTTTCAGCTCAGCCAGGGAAAAGCCGTCTTTGGTGGAAGGGAAAAGTGCCCTCCCAGAGCCAGAGGGGATCTGACTTACATATAGACAGAAGTCCCCGCTGGTCCTTTTCATGCAGATGAGGACTCCAAATCCTTGAAGTTTGATTGGTCCAAAGGGCACTGTCCTGACTGGTCAGAATGGAGCTACTTTGGTCAGTGAAGATGTTGATGGTAATATAGCTGTGTGGCTCCTACTGGATAGGGGAAGCTTCAGTCCAATTGGTTCGGCATCTCAAAATTATTTCATGCCTTCTTGCTTTTGCACAGTTTCTTTACCAACAGTGCTCTTTCTAGCTGCCTAATTTCTGCCTGTCTAACCAAGATTCAAGTCATAGAACCTCTCCCTGAACCCCCAGTCTGAGATGAATACCTCTCCCCTGTGCTCTGCCTTCCTGTGCAAACCCCACTAGTAGCACTTTTTACATGGAGGAAGATGTCTATCCTTCATGTCTCTCTATTTCTGGTACCTGGCTCACCTGTGCTTGATTAAGGTTTGGGATAAAAGGGAGCCCACAGACATGGGCTTGCTGCTGGCTCTCCCAGCAGCTAGTTGGGTGACATTGAGCAAATCATTTACCCTCTCTCAATCTCCCATTTTTCCCAAGGAGGTTGGACCAGGTAATCCTTGAAAATTGCTTCCTCTCCGAAGTGACAAGCTTCTATAAAGATGAAAAGCAGCAAAATAGTCTCGAAAATAGGAGACTATGTTATGACATAGAATGCACCTCCCGTTACTCTTCTTTTTCTTCTGTCTTTTAGAGGTCGTTTTTCTTTGAGCACGACTTTGAGAAGGACCATTCTCTCCCCAAGCCCAGCTGGAGCAAGGACATGCGACTCCTCTTTGACCAGTTCATGAAGAAATGTGAAGATGGCTCCTGGACACTTTTGCCTTCATTTAATTATAAATTAATTTATAGGGATCAGGACGTCTCAACCTTAATGAATGGTAGGAACAGTGACTCTCCCATAAAGAATATTTAAATATTGCCCTGGCCAGTGTGGCTCAGTTGCTTTAGCATCCTCCCGTGGACCAAAAAGTCACTGGTTTGATTCCCAGTCAGGGCACATACCCAGGTTGCGGGCTTGATCCCCAGTAGGAGGCGTGCAGGAAGCAGCCAATCAGTGTTTCTCCTCACATCAATGTCCCTCTCCCCCCCCCTTCCTCTCTCTTGAAAATGAATAAAAACATGTTGGGGGGAAAAGAATATTTAAATAGCAAATATAAAACTAAGAACAGATTGAAGCACTAGTTACCACTTGAAAAAGGAAAGAGTATAGTGCAGGGGTTTCTATAATCTTCAGTTTTATAATAAAGGCCAGAAATCTCAATGAATTTTGCAGATTGTGGGAGGGCATAAAGTCTTTTGCCAAGAATAAGACTGCCTCCCACCCTGGCATCCTCATCACCACTAGCAGGAGTGAACAAAGGCCCCCAAAGAGCCTCCACCCTGCCACAGCCTCTTCCTGTCTCTGTCTGAGGCTGTCATCAGTAATCTCATTTTACTGTTTATCTCAACATATGGCTCTGTCACCCTAAGAAGCTTAGGTTGCTTAGGTCACCCCCTCATCTCCCAGACTCATGATTCCCAAGGTAACCTACCGCACCATTAACACACACACATTATACTTTCTCTTCTGTGTGTGATCTTTTATTTTTTTATTTTATTTATTTATTTTTAAAATATATCTTTATTGATTTCAGAGAGAGGAAAGGAGAGGGAGAGAGAGACAGAAACATCAATGATGAGAGAGTCATTGATCAAGCCCACAACCTGGGCATGTGCCCTGACCGGGAATTGAACCCTGATCACCTGGATCCTAGGTCAACGCTCAACCTCTGAGCCATGCCCGGCCAGGCTGTGTGTGATCTTTTAAATTAAAATTTTTTTAGCAGTTTCAGGTTTACTGAAAAATGAGTGGAAAGTACAGAGTTCCCATATACCCCCTACCCTCCCACCCAGGCTTCCCCTGTTATTAACACCTTGCATTAGAGTAGTACATTTGTTATAATTGTACTACTAGTATTGTACTACTAGTACATTATTATTAACTAAAGTCCATACTTTACATTAGGGTTCACTCTTAAGTTTTACTTACTATGGGTTTTGGCAAATGTATAATGTCTTACTCCAAGAAGGGTTTCTGTGTACACCTTAGTATTTTATTCAGTGTATCCTCAGCATTTATATACGATATTTTCTGATTGCCATGTATAAGTACTTTGTTTTCGTTCATTTATGTATACTATGGCCTCGGTTAGGCTGTTAATTCCATGAGGGCAAAGCTCTTATATTCTGTTTCCTTGGGACCCTCCCATTCCCTTCCATTTTGTACCTGGTTGACATTTGAATCGGTCATCCACCAACCTGTTATTCTAGCAGGGTACAGATGTTTAGCTCTGTCATGGCATCTTTCTCACACCTGTTTCTCGTGTGCCCATCCAGCTTATTTCCCTACAGCCTCAGAGCTAGGAAACAAGGAGAAACTGTCACAAGCCCAGCTCTTTGGCACAAATTTTAAGGATGGCCTGGGTTTTGAATATGTGATGTTCTATAACGATGTTGAGCAAAGGATAGTCTGCGTGTTTCAGGGAGGCCCTCACCTGCAAGGAATGCCCGGGTAAGAACGACAACCTAAAATGTCTCTCTAAAAGATTGTTATCTTGTACTATCCCTTTGAACTAGAATGAAGGCATTAAAATGGTAATGTAGATATATTTATTGATATGGAAGGATGTTTATAATAAATCACAAAAGCATAGGACTTAAGGCAATAGTGTATAATCTAAGAGAGTATCATTGGCATGTTAACAGAGGGCCTTACAATTTTTTCTTTTTCTTCTGTTTATCTACATTTCCTAAATTTTTAAACAATGATGTGTATAGTTAGTTTAATGAATACATAATATAAATTTCTAAATGATATTTTAACTTTGCTTGCTCGTGATCTGATTACCTGGTTTATTACAAACAGTACACTTATGATATGAACAAAGTAAAGTAGGGGACATGGGTATTTGACACTCGGTACACTGATGATGTACTAAGTGGACCTTTCATAAGTAAATTATATAGAGATGCTTGGATAATCTTTCTCTTTTCAGACTTTTTGGAAACATTTTTCATTCCTTCCTATTATAACTAGATTTCTTCATGGAGGTGCCATTGCAACCATGATTGATATTACTCTTGGTATGTCTGCAATTATAGCGGGAGAAATTGTCATGACTGCCAATCTCAACATCAATTTTAAAAGGTAAATTCATGGGTATTCTCTGCTTCTTGGGTGTCATAGGTCAGGTTTCCCAGCAACAGACCCTATGGCAGAGAAAATGAGAGAAACTGGCTGAGACCATCCCATGGTCCTGTTTTCATTTCTTTAAAGGATTTTAGCTTCCTTCAGACTTTGCTCTGTTTCATCAGATGGCACAACCTGTGGTATCACAGCTAGAATCCCTTGTGATCCTTTGAACCTAACCCAGAAGGTCAGTCAGGGACCAGATTCCCAGGAGCCACCTGAGAGCAGTGGTGCTTGGGAGGAAGGGGTGTGAGTGGGTGCTGGTGTCAGCCTCTTTAAGAAATGTTCTGTCTAGGAAAGTGAGGCCCCAGTGACATCAGGTATCATAAATTGCCCCACCTTGTCATACACTTGATCATCTCTCAGTGTTACATAAATCTGATAAAAACTCTTTTTTTTTTCTTCTGCAGACCTATCTCCCTTCGTTCTGTTGTTTTGATAAATAGCCAACTTGATAAAATTGAAGGAAGGAAACTGTTTTTTTCAAGTAATATTCAAAGTATTGATGAGAAGATCCTATACACAGAGGCAACAGGTAAGAAGCTGCCACTCTTTGGTTTGGTTTGGGTTTTTTTTCCTTTGGGGGGTTTGTTTGGGGTGGTTTTTTTCTGGGTCTATTTTTGTTGGGTTTTGGTGGGGGGGGGGTTGTTT